TCATTTCAAGAGCAAGAGAAGATTTTTGGAAGCGATGGTATATTGAGTATTTAAATGAGCTTCAAAAAAGACAGAAATAGCAGGGAGAGAAAGAAGAGATGAAATTAAATTCAGTTGTATTTCTAATGGAAAAAAAAAATTTCCTGTGCTGATTGGAGGCTGGGCGTAGTTGTTGAGATTCACCCTGGAGACGATAGTGTGGTGCGTGTGGCTTCAATTAAAACAAAAAACAGAATTTATAAGAGAAATATCACGGATCTTTGTCCATTGCCAGACAAAGAAGTTGCTGAATTTTAATAAGCATTTTTATAAGTTAATTTTTTGCCTTTAGTATAAATTTTGCCTCAATCATTCAAATATTTGTTTTTAAGTATTAAAATATCAATACTTAATTGTTATTAGTCATTGTTTTCGAGAAATCTCGTTTTCTTTCATTAAATCATGTTTTAAAGTATTTTGTACAACAGTATTTGTAATGCCATCAATTAAGTTATTCATTGTTAAAATAAGTATTAGTGTTTAATTAGTTACTTTACGAGGACAACTGAATACACATTATAATTTAACTTCATAATACCATATTTAATGTACAATATTTACCTTGCTCATCCTTTCGTTTCGCGATCGCGGGGAAGTATGTTTTGTGGATCAGTAGAAACAGTTGAGTTTGTCAAATACGTTGATATTTTGTTATTAAGCTATATTCAGACTGTGAAAAAAAGTTAATTAAAAAATTTGTGTGTGCACTCTCGCTTTCTTTTGTTTGAGACGTTCAAGCTGACGTATCTGTCTCTGCTAACCCACAAAAAAGTTCGACTTTTGTAACCTTTACATTTTGTCGATTTTTTGGTTGCCCACGGCACCTCAAAACGTCTATTTCTAGTCGTAACATTTCGTGTCGACGAAAACGTGGATCTGCCTCGCCAGCAATCCCTTAACTTAGAGCAACGGCTCGCCTCGATCGACTTTCCCCCTTGGAAAAGAGTTGGTCTACAACCTAACCAAAAGGTATTCTTAAATAACTTACGCATCATTTACTCATTCTCTTTCATCACATACTATTAAAGTTTTTTTCTATTATTATTTATAATCAAAATGTAATTTCTTTCACTCGAATAAACCAGGTTTCTTGCCAAAAGGCTTTTTCCTGTTTATGCTGTGTTTCATTGACTTTATAGCCGTAAGCGTCTTTTTGAACTTCAACTACGTAAGTGCCAATTAAGAGAGCGACGCCTGACCCCTGGGGTCTTACTCTTTTTGCGACGGAAACGTACATAACCATTTAATATTATCATTTTTTCATGCCTTACTTTCTTTTTAAAAAAACTTCAGAGTTTAAAACTATCGCATACGCAACAGTAAAGGCATAATATGTAAGGAAGAAATTCAAATGTCCATGCTGATCCGCAAAAATGTCTATCATAAAGATATATGCAGGCCTACGACGAAGGAGAACATTAATTTAAAGAAGATAAATATGTTGTTTATTTATAAATTTAAGTATTGCTGGCGACTGTCTTTGCGCTGCTGCTGCGAGTTTTCCTTTAATTTAACTCACGGATTTCGCTGTGCGAGAAATAGGGGGTCACACTCCCGCAAGGAGTGCGTATTTAATATACTTGTGCAAATGTGTCTGTTCCCCCTCCCCGCGTATTGTATTAAACATTTGATGAGGCTTGCCACGAGTAGGTCTGGCTCGGGCAGCACGCTTGCGGCACTCTCCCCGTCCAGACCTCGAGCGAAGTAGACGTACCTACGCAACAGCAATTATACTCGAGCAAGCAGTATAACGCAGCAAAGTCGTTTTTCGGGCTAAAGATGTGCCCAAGCAGCAGCAACACTGCAGAGATTTACTATTCCACGCTGGATTTGTAAATTTTAGTATCTTTTATCTTTGAAAGGCCTAAGCAATAGAAGCAGCATTTAAATAGATAAGAACTGTACGAACGGCTAGCTCATCGTTGTGTCGAGGGAGTGATTTTGTTGAAGCGTTGCCAATTTTATCTGCACGATCAACTTGCTATTCGTTGTATCGGCAGACAAATTTAAAGAGTAGACAGCTCGCTTTGTAAAGCTGATCTAGTCTAAAGTTTTGAATATTCTTTGATAGCGTCGCGATTTTCCATTATCTTAGAAATTGTTGTTAATCTATTTCTCTTTGGTAAGTATGTTCGGTGGTTATTTAAAGTGAAACCATTTTTGTAAATCGTTTCAGTACCCCTCGCAGAAGCTCGAATTTATTCCAGAAAATTAGACAACAAATTTCCACTTTCTTTAATTCGGCAGCAGTCCAAATTTGCCCTGGGTTTTTCCATTCAAGGCTTTCGAAACTTCTCGAGCCTCGAGAAAAGCCGAACATATATACACACAAATATACAATTTGGTAGCAGAGCGTGGTTTGTCTTGTTTTTCTGGAAAACAAATCTATCGTTGGACGCAGCCGTCATCAAGGCCGCCCTGACGTCATCGAGTACGCAATCGTCCAAAACAAATCGATACCATCGGATAGAGAGAGAGATAGAGAGAGAGGCAATTGGAGTGCACAAGGATAGCTATCATCTTCTCCTTTTTGTGAGGATCTTCGCTTCGGTGACCAGGCTTTTCCCCTTCTTCGCAACCTTCATAGCCCGAAGTCAAGCTCGATTCTTGCAGGTCTGTATTCTTTGGCGTTTGGACGAGACCAAGTAAAGGGGGAGAGGTAATAGGAATGGTAAGCCTGTGTATACATAGATTTTTTCAAAACAAATCAGCAATTGCTAACGCTACGTTGCTATACTACATAGTATTAAGTACCGCCCTATTCTCTTGAATTAGTCATTATGGAAGAGATTTTAAAATCTCAGCTCAGTGGGTACAAAAATATAGTGAATTTTTTTGTAAATTTAACGGAAAAGGCAGGTGCAGGAGCACAAACTGCCGATCATTTCTATACGCGTTTAGAGTTGCTCGAGAGATATTGGTTAAGGTTTGAGGAAGGACACGATGATTTGCTTAAGTTCAAGGATCAATTGAAAAATAGAGAGTATTTTTGCGACGATCTTTATACTTCGGCCAAAGTTGAGTATTCGAGCGCGCGTGCTAGATTACGTGATAAGCTAGTAGAGCTAAATCCGCAACCCCCTCAACAGAACCCACCAGCTTCACAGCATTTTCAACAAAACTTTAACGCGTCTTCTTCTCGTTTAACACTTCCAAGCATTTCGTTACCCACGTTCTCCAGCAGCCAAGGAGAATAGGAGAGCTTTAAACAGCGATTTTTTTCGCTAATTAAGGATAAGGTTGATATCCCACGAGTAGAAAAACTACAAGATTTGCTTAACGCAGTGCAAGGCAAAGCGGAGCAACGTTTAAAGGGTCTTGACGTGATTGAAACGAATTATGATGTAGCGCGGGACAAGCTAGTACGGCGTTATGACAATCCGTGAATTCGGCTCCTTAATACTCTTGAGAACTTGATACAGCTACCGTTAGTGAAAGCTCGCAATGTTCAGGACTTGAATAATATAATAGATCAAGTCGAGGAAGCTGTTCGAGCGCTTCGTGATCTGACTTGCCCCATTGAGCACTATGATAACTGGTTCGTGCATTGCATTATTAGAAAGCTCGATTTAAACTTTCGAGAGGCGTGGGAGGTTTCGCAGAGTGCAGTTGACGGTTTCTCAAGTTATGACGTGTTATTACGTTTTTTAGAGAAGCGTATTCAAACGTTAGAGCAAGCACGCGCTTTAACCGAGACCTGTGAATCGCGTGGCAAGAAAGCGAATAATTCGGCTTCTCGTTTTTCCAATCGTGTGACAGCCAATAATGCCCAGACTGTTGAGTCAACAGACTCGAAGTCCGGCCTTTTATGCGATCTTTGTAGAAACAATCACTGGCTGCATTATTGTAGTCAGTTCAATGCTAAAACGCCTTCTCAACGTTTAGAGTTCTGCAAAAAGGCTAAACTTTGTCTTAATTGTTTTAAGAAAGGGCATTTCGCTGACAAATGCACCTCAAAGTATCGGTGTTTTACATGCCGGGCAGCGCATCATACCAAGCTTTATCCGGCTAATTTTCAAATTCAGGATTCAAGCAATCGTGGCTTTCAAAAATTGAATAATAACAATGCCACACAGGTCACTGGCGCAGCTGCTACTTCTGCTGATTCGGGCGGTGAAATCGCATCACATAGTGCTTCTGTAGGATCAACGGTCCTCCTCGCAACAGTCCGCGTTATGGTTGCCAATTCGGCTGGTAAATCTCTAGAAGTTCGCGTATTAATCGATCCCTGTGCAGAAAAATGTTTTATTTCAAAGCGCATGGTGCATTTTCTCAAGCTTGATTCCGAGAAAACTTCGCTTTCGGTGATCGGTGTCGGAGCAGAGATTTCTTCTAGATGCTATTCTATTGCTCATAGTATCTTAAAGACGAACAAAAAACAAAATTTTGCAATGGGTTTTTCGGCTTTAGTTCTTAATGAGCTTACTAGGTGCTTGTCAAAGCAAAAGCTCACGCGAGGGAATTGGCCGCATCTCGAGGGCCTGGATCTAGCAGATCCAGACTATACTGATCCTGCAAAAATCGATGTAATTTTAGGGGCTGATGTTTATCCAGCTTTAATTATAGAGGGTTTGGTAAGGGGTCAGGCAGGTACTCCACTGGCTCAGCAATCGGTATTCGGTTGGTTGCTAACTGGAGCTATCGGTTCTGGTAATCCGCAAAGCTCGTCCATTCGCGCGTTTCACACGCACACGGAACCTTCGCTGTCTCAACTTGTCTCAAGATTTTGGGAGATAAAAGAAGTTCCTCGTAAGTCCTTGTTGACCGCTGACGAAAAAAAGTGTGAGGAGTTTCTCGCAAACTCGTATTCTCGCAATGAAAATGGTCGTTTTGTAGTTCGTCTACCTTTCGCCAGGAGACCCAATTTTCTTGGCTCTCGTGATATTGCTGCATTGTGTCTGGCTCGCTCCAAGCCGTGACTGCAGCACAATTCTCAACTTGCTGAGCGCTACAAAGCTTACATGTGCGAGTATATTGAGCTGCAGCACATGGAGTCTGTTCTGGTATCGCAAATCAACAGGCCCAATTCTTATATGCCTCATCATGCAGTCGTAAAGCCCAACAATATAGAAAAAATCTACGTAGTCTTTAACGCGTCGCAAAAATCTCGCAATGGGATCGCCCTTAATGATTTGCTCTTGCCTGGCCCAAAGTTGCAGACCGATATCGCAATAGTCTTAACACTTTGGAGGCAATTTAGATATGTGTTTACTACTGACGTTATCCAGATGTTTAGGCAAATACTGGTACATCCCAAAGATGCGGATTGGCAGCGAATTCTCTGGCGAAAGGATAGCAATCAGCCGTCGAAGGACTACAGATGTACCACGGTGACGTACGGTACTGCGTCTGCTCCATTTTTAGCTCTTCGCGTGATGAAGCAGCTGGCCATCGATGGAGCTGCCGACTATCCAGATGCCGCTGCAATCCTGCAACATACGCTCTATGTTGATGATCTCTTCGCCGGAGCAGACACGGTTGAAAAGGCGCTGCGACGACGTGACCAGCTGATTGCTTTGTTAGGGACTGATGGTATGGCCCTTAGCAAATGGGCAGCGAATGAACCACAGCTGCTATCAGGTTTGATTTCAACGTCTACGGGTGTGGTGAATGTAAAAGCAGACGAGGTAATATCTACTCTTGGCCTTAAGTGGCTCCCCCAAGAAGATAAATTCATGTTTTCGGTCACCGAAACGCACTCACAATGCGAAGTAACAAAACGCTTAATCTTGTCTAATATTGCTCGTTTGTTTGACCCTCTAGGATGGCTAGCACCAATTATTGTCGTTGCCAAAATCATTATGCAAGATTTGTGGATCGATAAGATGGACTGGGACGCGCCTACAACGCAGTCTCTGCAAGCTCAATGGTTGCAATTCCGAGCCAATCTTTCAGACGTACCAAGGATCCGAATTCCAAGGTGGATAAACATAAAGGAGAATGACGACTGGCAGCTGCACAGATTCGCCGATGCCTCGCAAAGGGCTTATGCTGCAGCAGTTGACTTAGTGGTGCCTAAGTCTACGCCTATGCTGCTTGTAGCGAAAACCAAGGTCGCGCCTACGAAGGTGCAGTCGCTGCCAAGGCTGGAGCTCTGTGCTGCTACACTGCTATCTCGACTGACGTTGTATCTCCTTAATTCGTTGCATCGTCCACCGACAGCGATCCACTGCTGGTCAGACTCACGAGTTGTACTGGAGTGGTTGAAGGATCATCCGTCCAGGTGGCAAACCTTTATTGCCAACCGCACAAGCGAGATCATCACTCGGATTCCATCAGCTATTTGAAGGCATGTAAGATCTGCTGACAACGCTGAGGACTGTGCAACGCGAGGCCTTAGTCCCGCAGACCTTGCTACATTTCGGCTCTGGTGGCACGGACCCGCTTGGCTTCCGCAACCAGAAGCAGCCTGGCCGTCATCCGTTCCTTTGAACGCTCAAGCCATTGAGGAGACGCATGCTCTTGCAGCCATGGAGAGGAATGATGAGGATGCCAGTTCGGCCGCTGGTTGCAGCTGTTTGCCGTCGCTGTAAAAGTTTTCTGATTTTGAGAAAATACTTCGAATCGTGGGCTACTGTAGGCGCTGGCTTCGGAAACCAGATGATGAGTCACGAGAAAGTAACAAATTCATCTCGCTACAGGAGAGGGCTCTTGCCCAAAATTTTTGTTACAGACGCATCCAGCAACAACATTATAAGGAAGAGCGAAAGCAATTGCTAGCGAATAAGCCGCTTTCTAAGCGTAGTCCGCTGGCTCATCTCAGTCCTTTTATCTGCGAACGGGGTTTGATCCAAGTGGGAGGTCGACTACATTATTCGCCGATACCTTACAATGAGAAGCATCCAATTGTGCTACCAGGGGGATGTATTCTGGTCAAACAACTCGTCGAAGAAGTGTACAAGTTAACGCTTCATGGTGGCGCGCAACTTATGTTGTCCTATATCTACCGCTCGCTCTGGATCACTCGAGGCCCGGCCATAGCAGCAGGAGTTACAGACGATGCGTCCGCTGCATAAGATTTGATGGCAGATGCTCTGCCCAGCAGATGGGCCCCTTGCCTGCTGACCAAACGACGCCGTCTCGTGCATTTGCCGTTACTGGACTGGATTACGCAGGGCCCATCCCTGTGCTGTTTTTCAGAGGCCGAGGGGCAAAATCTACAAAAGGCTACGTCGCAATATTTATTTGCCTATTGACACGAGCTGTACACATTGAAATTGTTTCATAATTATCCACAGATGCTTTTCTTGCAGCCTATGCACGGTTCTGCGCTCGTAGAGGGGCTTGCAAGAAACTTTATTCGGATAACGCAACAACTTTTGAAAAACCTGATAAGGAGCTGCAAGCGCTCTTCGCCAAGTCGTCACCCTTTATGGACAGCGTGGTATCAACTTTTACTACCCAACGCACCCAATGGTCGTTCATTCCACCACATTCCCCTCATTTCGGCAGACTCTGGGAAGTGGTGGTGCGGAGTTTCAAGCACCACTTCCGCAGAGTTATCGGAGATCACTCACTTACCTTCGAGGAGCTGTCGACGTTGGCTGCGAAAATCGAGGCATGCCTTAATTCTAGGCCACTGTGCCTCCTCAGCACAGATCCCAAAAACGCAGTCACTCTCACTCTGGTGCATTTTTTGACGGGCTCATCTTTGCTGTCATCTCCGGAGCCGTACGACAAAGCAACTCAGCCCATTTCACTCAACGACAGGTGGAGGTTGCTGGGCAATCTTAGAGACTCCTTTCGGTCACGTTGGAGAAAGGAGGTCCTACATCTTTTGCAGCGTCGAAATAAATGGTTGGACCCAGAGCCAAACTTGCAAAAGGGGGACGCCGTTTTGTTGATGGACGAGCTCTCGCCTCCAACTCAGTGGCGCCTTGGCTTGGTCATCGAAGCACATCTGGGGGCTGTCGGGCTTGTGCGAGTTTTTACTGTAAAGACAGCCACATCCACGTTCACTCGTGCAGTAGTAAAACTTGTGAAACTACCGACTAAGCCAGAGCTTGTCAACTTTTATCACCAACTGCCGAAAAATTCCTCTTCGGCTACCGCAAAGAAAAACAAAAATGATTGCAAAAAATCCAAAGAAGTTAGGTAGCTTTCGTGGCTAGTGTAGTTACTTGAATCTTTTGTAATTTTGTTATTTCTCTATTTTTTTTCTTTTTTTTCTTTCTTATTTACTATAATGTTTTTGTTTGTTTAGCTTTCATGCATAGTAATGCCGCTCAATCTCGATGAGTAGCATAGGGATAGCTTCTAATCCGCACATAGGCTTTCCTGTCCCGTTAAATTAAAAGCATTTTCTAACTTCCCTTTTTGATTTATTTTAATTTTTTTTGACGCTTGTTGCGTCAAGACGGGCGATATGTTCATTTATAAATTTAAGTATTGCTGGCGACTGTCTTTGCGCTGCTGCTGCGAGTTTTCCTTTAATTCAACTCGCGGATTTTGCTGTGCGAGAGGTAGGGGGTCACACTCCCGCAAGGAGTGCGTATTTAATGCACTTGTGCGAGTGTGTCTATTCCCCCTTCCCGCGTATTGTATTAAACATTTGATGAGGCTTGCCGCGAGTAGGTCTGGCGCGGGCAGCCCGCTTGCGGCACTCTCCCTGTCCAGACTTCGAGCGAAGTAGACGTGCCTACGCAACAGCAATTATACTCGAGCAAGCAGTATAACGCAGCAAAGTCGTTTTTCGGGCTAAAGATATGCCCAAGCAGCAGCAACACTGCAGAGATTTACTACTCCACGCTGGATTTGTAAATTTTAGTATCTTTTATCTTTGAAAGGCCTAAGCAATAGAGGCAGCATTCAAATAGATAAGAATTGCACGAACGGCTAGCTAATCGTTGTGTTGAGGCAGTGATTTTGTTGAAGCGTTGTCAATTTAATCTGCACGATCGACTCGCTATTCGTCGTATCGGCAGACGAATTGAAAGCGTAGACAGCTCGCTTTGTAAAGCTGATCTAGTCTGAAGTTTTGAATATTCTTTGATGGCGTCGCGATTCTCCATTATCTGAGAAATTATTGTTAATCTGCTTCTCTTTGGTAAATATATTTGTTAGTTGTTTAAAGTGAAACCATTTTTGTTAATCCTTTCATTACCCCTTACAGAAGCTTGAATTTATTCCAAAAAATTAGACAACAAATTTCCACTTTCTTTAATTCGGCAGCAGTCTGAATTTGCCTGGGTTTTTTCATTCGAGGCTTTCGAAGCTTCTTGAGCCTTAAGAAAAGCCCAGCATATATACACACAAATATACATATGTACACACAAGTTTCTCAAGACTCAAGCAAAATTTCTACGTGAAAGGAAAAATTTTTTGTTATTAAGAAAAAACCTTTGCATTTAAACCAAACTGAAAATGTACGTACAAGTTTGCAATAGTATTAGAAGAAAAATATTTTTTTACCAGTAATATTTTGAAAACTAGTTATTTTTTTAGCAATTCGTGTTAGCCAAAAAATGTATTAAAGGGTGATGCTTTAGTAAGAGATAAAAAGAAGTATTGCATTGTTTTTAATTTTGAATCGTCTTATAAACAGCACAAGATAATATTTAAAGTTAGTGTCTTCATCTATGTAGATGTATGTGATATATAAATATAAATATGTAATTGCTGACAATACTGACACGACTGCATTATAACATTGATTTACTGACAGCAAACGAGTAGAGTACCTTATATCTAACTAGTCCCTCTAAAATAATTTTATTAAGGGCATAAAACTAAGTGTCTCTCAGAAGGCATACGAATAGCTCTGTAAAAGGCATCCTTACTTTGAGCTGCATTCTTTGTGCCAGCTATCTTATGGATAAAGAGAAGTGAAAATATCCAATTGAAATTTACTTTAAAAATTATCACTAACACCGATAGTAGCGCCTCTTGCGACAACTTTGTAAAATATGAAATTACTTACCAAAAGTTTGTGAAGAAGCTCACTTTATTCGTGAAGTTTATCAGTATGGTATCCAGACTCGCCATAAAGGACACCTTACATTCCTTACATCATCAGCTAAATGTATTAAGCTGTGAATGTTTAAAACAAGTGACTGTTTTTCATAAAATTTTTGGACACTATTTACAAATGTTTTTAAGTATAAGTCTGCTTGATCTAGGTACATCATACATTGTGTTTAACATGAAAATTTTCTTCATGCTGTATGGTGCAGTAAGAAATAATCGTACATATACTGTAGCAGGATATTTTTTAAAACAAAAATTAATCTTTTTATGTAATAAAATCTACGCTTCGTTGCTTTTCATTTTTGAACATCACCTAAAGATCCAGCAGAACGTTAAAGCTCACAGGGAATTCGATCAGATAAGCTTACCATTCACTGTAATATCCTTCGTAAGTCTTCTATGGTGAGTTTACTGTCTTTCGGTGTTATCTAAGGCTCTCTTTTCGTAATTTTTTTGTTACTTGAAGGTATTCCAAGTGCATAAAATCAAGAACAAAGTGATTAACCATTTCCATGTCTTACATTTTAATAAAAAGTAAAATTTCTCAAAGGTGATGGTCTGAATCTTCTTACATCCTGCATGACGCATTCGTTATTTTGAAGAAATCTACTGGCTTCAATATATCACAAGCAACTAACTGAGTTCTTCATCTTGTACTTGCTTTCCCTCTGTTTTCTCTTCTCCTTTACATTGCTATATGGATCTTATTTATAAGTTGAATTATAGCTGCGTCAAGACTGCTTATACCACGCCCCCACTAACACTTTGAAAACTAAAAATAAGTAATAAGCATTAAAAGTCGGAATAAAATGCTGAAGGACTTAGTCTGTACAAAGAGATTAACTAGAGCAGAACTCTCAGCGCTATCCAACGATCGTCGTTGTATTTTGCAATTTTTAGTCGTAAAGTGAAAGTCAGAGCTATGTATAGAGCAACATTAATCCCAGCTGGAGATTATCCATATTGACCATCTGTAGTCAGTTTATAGACAACACCTATAGGATCAGGTGGACTTCGGCTATGGCCTTTACTCTCACGTTTGAACGCATCAACGCTCATTTTTCTACTAACGTTAATTTTCGCATGCTTAAGCATATATACACCCAGCTTCACGCAACCCTTCAATAATTGATATTATCTCATTGTCTTGGCTAGGATTCCCTGCACATCTTTCTGCTACAAGTAATCAAAGACAATCGACTAAATCAGTAGCCAGATCATCTCAGTATATACATTCTACTTGCTGCTTAATTGTTCTTTCTAGTAAGTTTTAAGTGAGGTTACAATGATTTGCCTTTTTTGTGAGCAATAAGATAAGGTATAAGATCTATATTTTCATTAAATTTATAACTAATGTACATCCTAATGGACCTATTTTTGTAGTTTCTTCGATTCAAAAGTATGTTGTATTTTTTTTAATTATCGTTAGTCATGCGAGATGTATCAGGATATTTTTTCACTAGTAGCTCCATTAATCCATTACTTATTGTAAAACTCAACTCCCACAACATAATTTAATTATTTCCAAAATTCAACGATGAATTATCAAGCTTGTGTGATCCACCTTCTTTTAGCACTCCATAAAACAAGTCTAAGAAATCTTCTCGATTTTCATTAACTCTTTTAGAATACACATTGTCAAGATAATGAGGATGAACGGTAACATTAATTTCATCATCATTCTCACTTTGACTGACAGCAGACCCAAACAGCGTATCGTCGTCATCATCATCATCATCATCATCATCATCATCATCATCATCATCATCATCATCATCATCATCATCACCATCGTCATCATCATCATCATCATCATCATCATCATCATCATCATCATCATCATCATCATCATCATCATCATCATCGTCATCATCATGGTCATCGTCGTCATCATCATCATCGTTATCATCCCTGTATTTCATTTGTCTATATATATATATATGTATATAAATAGCAAAATTGTCAAATCTTTTTCGATATGAACCACTATTAATTTTTCTATCCTTATCAATGACAATGAAGCCATATTCATCATCATTTTGACAGTTCGTGCAGAGATATTTGAACTAAGTATACGATATATTCAAGGTCACGTGAGCACCATACGCGTATTTTAAATTTAACTTATTTTGATGAAAATTATTTGAGTCAAAAATTATAATAGGATTAAGAATGCAAAAATTGTATGTCATCTATGGGCTCCAAGAACCTTTGCTTTTCTGACCGAGTGAGTTTGAGTAAAAACAGACGTTTCTAAACCTCTGTCCATTTAAATCTACAATTAGAGCTTGTAGATGGTTTGTCTTACCGTTATTATATGGACTACAGAATTCAGCGCGAAAACTATCTGAGAGTCATTCACTATGTCGATTCAAAAGCTTTTCTTGTTTCTTATCAGTGTCAATGTTTTGAACTTGAAATCTTACAGTTTGGTTTTTGAACTTGATGTCAATGATTTAATAACTACTTATGTTGTGATTGAATGCGCAGTGCTTTCATACTCTACAAATTGAACGCTTCCAGACTTCGTATATCAGTAAGGATTGAACCATTTAAGAGTGATGATCAGTCATCGCACTAGAGGACGTGGTCTTCTAACTAGGATTATAAATACTTTACCTGGAGAACTATACATACCAGGCGATCAGTACTATGGTTCTGGGACTCAACTTGCCAAACGTCTCGCTAAAGGTAATCAAGGAATAAATTCACTAGCCGCAGCACGCAAGGAACACGATGTTGCCTTTTTTTAGAATCGAGAAAACATTGAAACTAGAAATTAGGCAGAAAGAATTTTAGCCAAGAAAACTTGGCAAGAAGTCAAAGCTGGAGACTTAAGTTTTAGGAAAAAAGCAGCTATTTTAGCCATTGCAGGTACAGTAAATAAGCTTAAAAGTAAATAAAGTAAGATATAGGTGTTAAAAATAAGAAGAGACTGTGCACTGCTT